GATATTAGGTCTCTAGCACAACATCGGAAGTCAAAGAATTAATACAGTACATGCAGATGTTATAAAATGTACTACTTTTAGTACACTTAATACAAGTCAAATCTGTAAATATTTTTAATTATAATTTCTCCAGCTTATTATTCTATTCTATTCTAGTAGCTAAAGCATGAAATCATACTATCACGCATCCACTAATTAAATAAGGAATAAGCTTATCAGATTTTCCAGCATCATTTCTCTCTAAAATAGCAGTTTTCTAAGAAAAGTGTTTGCAATATATAGTGGCTCACATTCATTTTCAGACACCTACATTTTTAAAGTTTATTTGTAGAGATTTTGTTCTAAACACTGAACCTAGACTCCAAAGCTTTCTCAAATACATTATATTTTATCTATTTTAAGCCTTGCGTGTTAGAAAATAAATATCATAAATATATCTGGTTGCAACGAAACGGTTTGCTTCCGCAAAAAGCGTTCTTAATACTCAAATCTATGGTTTCTGCCAATTTTTTGGTAGTTTTCAAAGCCTTCGGACCAGAAATTTGGTGGCCGCGAGTCTAAAAGCAGATAAACCTCATTTCGAATATCCTGTGTAAAATAGAAGATAGCACCAGCAAGATGTAGCTGCAGGTATGAAAAAAAGGTAGAAGTCAGAAGGACCGATGTCAGGGCTATATGTTAGGTGCGGCAAAAGATCCCATTTGAGTCCGCACAGAGTCCAGCCGGTGAATGCATACACATGTGGTCTTGCATTATCTTGATGGAACATTATCTTTTTGTGCCCGGAACTCAGTTCGACGTTTTCCCTTGATAGCAGCGTCAACACGGACTAGCATTTCGCTGTGCACTTTACTGTTGAGAGTTTTACCTTTATCTAGATATTCTTTGTGGAATATTCTTTTGTGTGTAATACCACGGATATCCCACCAGATAGAAAGCATGATATTTTTGTTAGTCAAATTACGCTTTGCGACGCTGCCGACGGGCTCACTTAACGTAGACCAACCCCTTTTCGGCCTGTGTTGTTGAAGTAAATCCACCTTTCATCACAAGTGACGATCCGGTCCAGAATTTTGTCTTTCAGTTGCTATTCAAGCAGATTAGTGCGGGCCTGAACACATCTGCTCTTATCTGGAGTCGGCTCATGCGGCACACAGCGATTGAACTTGTATGGTTCTGAAAAAGCGGATTCTGAGAAAAGGTTTTCAATAAAAGTTAAACCTGAAACTGTTATAGGAGCCATCAGGACACATGGATGCAAAGGGCGATCAACCAAAAGAAAATTTTTCGTCAATACAAAAACAAGGAAAATACGACTGGATTCTCAAAATCCATGGTAAGTAACGATTTATTATATTAAAACAATGTTATATATACAGATAAGTCAAAATTTAATGTCTTTTTGTCTAATAGAGGAACTGCTGCGTGGAGAAAGCCAAATAAATAAACTGAATCCAAAAAACACTTTTGCCTACTATTAAGCATGAGAGTGGATGCATAAGGGTTTGGAGATTTTTCACTGCCTTCGAGAAATTCAGTTTTTATAGAAAATAATATAGATCACTATAAACAAATGCAAAATAAATTCGAATTCTCAAAATCGTAAAAACAACCTTGTATTTAGCGTAAATATTAGCATTATACCTACGCTAAATACAAAAAATACAAGGTTGTTTTTACGATTTTGATTGTCACATTAGCGTGTTTCTCTTCTAGTCTAAATTCGAATTCTATCAAGATAACGATCCTAAACGTACAACCCCAATGTTCTCTTGTTATTATATAGCTGTCCTGAAGATGGAATACTTTATTTTAAAAAAATTAGTGAAATCTATGCCAAAGTGTAAAATTACCTAAATGATATCCAAGGAATTACTGAATGTCTCGTTATTTTCATGTCTTAATTATGTTATATACTGTTTGTTCAAAGTGCTGAATAATTATGTTAGTTCATCCTGAGAACATTTTAAATTATTGTTTTTATTCAAAACGTTTTAAATAACGTTTTTGAAGCCAATCAAGTTTAAAAAGATGATGATTAAAAAAAAGTTGGAAAAGAAAGTCATTTTGCTAATATTTAGTAGCTCATATTTGAAAATAAAATGGAAAAACCCAAGTGTCAAAAAACAAATGTTAGCCACTTTATCTCAAGATTTTAATACTGTTATATTAATCTTTATACAAGCAATTGCCATATTTCTTTTTATTTTGATCAATGAAATTTATTTCCGTTGATTGATTTTACAATACAAAAAAAGTTTAGATTCATTTGTATTATCTCAAGCATTTCTATCACCAAACCAAAACTGTTTAATGAAAATAAATCGTCGCCCTCTTTCTGATATTTGGGGAATAAGATTCCATTAGAAAAGAGCACTCATATATACAAATTTACAGCGCTAAATATATAACCAAATATTTTCGTACTTCTTCAGACACAGTCGAAGGCCGGCTTCTTCACCTTTACTTCCTCAAAATAGAATCAAGTTTAAACATTTCCCCTTTCGCAACGAAAAAAAAAGACCTCTTCAAACCCCAAAACGCTTGTTATTTCCATATTCATTCTAAAGTTTTTTTTACATCAGTTTATGTAACTTAACTATATAAGTGATATCAGTAATTTAATTGATAATTTTGCATGTTGTTGTTCATCACTAATGTATGACATCATTCATTTAAGTTAAGCTATGAAGTAAATAAAAATTTATGAAGAAGGTAAGCATTTTATTATCAAACACTAATTATTAGATAATTTTCAAATTCTCCGTTGGCAACAGACGATCCTTGATGTAGGTTGTTGTTCATTTAGAAGAAAGTATGTACGAATAGGACGGAAATATAGCTTATTATATACTTATTATGATAAATACGACATTTATTCAGCATTTTCTTTTTCCCCCTATGCTATTATTTAAATACTTTCTAAAGCATTACTTTTATTTAAAAATACAGAAGTAGATAAAATATCAGAAATGGGATTACTTTGTATTTGCATTAGAACACAGTAACGGGCACTATTGTTCTAAGTTTGAAATCTGAACACATAAATTTAAAGAAGTTTCAGGACCATAAAAGTGTTTAAAAATGATTTTTATTTATATAATAATTATATTTAATTACTGATAGCCTCTGAACGAAGATATTTTCTGAATTAATATTAAATTCCTGTGTAAGAATAGTTCTATTAAGTAATTTGTCTGTTTTATAAGTTACTGTAACAGATACTACAATTTTAAACATCAATATTTAGTTATTTTAAAGAAAATCAAGTTCAAAATTCGAGATGCCTATGTTTGGAAAAAGCGAAGAAGCGTGATCTGAAAATTTTAGCAGAAGAACTGGAGAAAAGTTTATGGACAGTCATAAAATGAGCGATTTGAGGAGAATAATTTTGAAGAGCAAGGCGAATAACGAAGATTGTTTTAACAAATGGAGAATATTATAGGAAAAAGAAAAAGAATAAAGAAGGATAGATAAAAGAATAAAGAAAGAATTCGATGATCAGAAACTTAAAGAGGAAATGCAATTTGAATATAGAATCTGAAGATAGATCTTTCACTGCTGTCACCAGATTGAATAGTAATAATTTTTAAAAGTGTAATGTTTCCTGAATTTTTTTTTAGCTCAAAGGGGCGTTAGCCCAGAAGGGCTATTAATCTCGAAACGGCATTTTGCATTGAATCACTAAAGGCGTTGGATCACTTTTCAAATTGTTGCCACAAAATATTACTGCCTTTTATTATATTCAAAGAAATGATATAATGAGGAATCTGTATAAATATATTTACGTTTCTCGCACTGCGAAAAAACGATACCAAGAGACATCAAATTTTGAATAACGTAGCTCTCCCCCCGAATATGGGCATCTGCAAGCCCGAATTTTGGAATTTGCTTTATTGTATATTTCATATTTTGTGAAACTTAAAACGAATTTTTGATTAACAAATTCAACGATTTCAAAGCCATCAATGGCAACACTCTACGGAATAAACATTTTCATTTCCAGCACGCAAAATTTTCTGTCAAAAATTGTAAAGCTACTATATTTTTTAATATTTTTAGCCCAAATGCTCTCGAAACGCGGATGTGTGTGTAAATGGGGGGGGGGACCGCCTCGTTGGGTATAATATAAGATCTGAAGCTTTCAAAAAATTTTTAAAATTTTTATATTTATTTTTTATTTTTGTATCCAAGTTACAAAAGGGAAATATTTTTACACTGATCTGAAGCTAAAAATACGATATGGACGTAAGTAATGTACATATTTAACATAACTAAATAATCTATGTAATGTAACGATGTAAAGTACACAATTAACGATGTTATTTGCGTAATGTAAATAAGGTAACGATATAATGTACGTAATAAAGTGAATATGATTAATGTAAATGTATGTAATGAATACAGTACATGTAATGTATATAATGGTGTAACGTACGTAACTTATGTGTCATGTAGAAGTTTGGATGCGCAAAGCTATTCAATTAAGGATCAGTTGTAAAATCAGGATGGACGAATGTAAGTATTAATTTTTAAAAATAAACTTGTAATAAATAAATAGTCTTGATAGTCCAAAGGCGAATTCCTTTGTCATCAGAGGATGTATGCTGTTGGTTTCAGAATACGGGTACGGATGGGACAACGAAAATGTAACTTAATGTACCTTTAATGATAAATAAGCCATTTATTTAATATTTTCTCTTTTTCTTTATGCTGTTATTGTAATTATTTTCTGAAGTATTACGTTGATTTATAAAGATATTAATTAACAAGAATATGTGGGCATAATGGTTTGCATGTAGCTGATGGGAGATGACAGTCTGGAATTGAAATACTTTCGACCACAGCCTTCTGCGACGATGACCATTTCGAATCTTCCAAAGCAAGAACCGTTCCTCCATCTTCCCCTCAGCTCCCATAAAAGGCAGCCGCCAAGCAGCTATCTTCTGAAAACAGAAACATGAGAGTGCGACTCAACATCCCAAGGATTTAAGGCCAAACTCAGCTGTGGGGGAGTTTCACTTCACCCTCCTACCTTCTCGCGTGCTTCGCGTCGGATTCATTCTCCCATCCTCTTCTGTACTCTCACCCGGTTGTCAGAGACAGTGAGCATCACACTTCTGCCAAAGCTTCGAACAACTAGATGTCCTCGATCAAGACCTCGAAATACGTGTACAGGTCCACCGCCGGTGGTGCAGGGGACCTCAGCATCGAGTATGGGACCGACTTGGGGGCCCTCACAAGACTGGAGGTAAGAATCACAGAACTTGCTTATCATTTTGGTCAATCCCAACCGAGACTGTGTCTGGTATGTTAGAATGAACATTTTAGGAATTGACGTTGAAGAACAATTCTATAGATCTTATTTAAAACCATCATATTATTTAGTTACTTTGAATGAAAATGCATAGGTATTAGAATTCATAGTAACGCAGTTACAGTTAATAATGTGATTAGGGCACAGCTTTAATTCTTTATATTTTTTCCCAACAATAAAAAAAAAAAAAAAAAAAAAAAAAAAACTGTTCTGTAAAGCCTGAGAAATGAAAAAGAAGTGATAAACTTTTTAGAATATCATTTTTGAAAATAATTTAATTTTTAATGTAAATATGTAAGGTAGATATAAAGACAAACTGTATTTTTACAACTATATAACTACATCTCTAATTTATTAAGCGAGAACACTTGTTAATTAAAACAAAAGACTTTTCTTAATCTCTAAGAATAAATGTTTTATATTTTTAAAAGTTACATTCCTATTATTAGTATAATTGTAGCTATAATTTACGGTTATGAAAAAAAAAAACTTAAATATAAATAAAATAAAGTTATATAAATAAAATATAAATCTCTTATTTGAAACTTTAAAAATAAAAAACCACTATTAATAGAAATGGCAAAAAACATATTTTAAGTCATTTAAAACTATAAGACTTGTAGGATTTCTAAGGATACTTTATTAGACGAAATTTCACCTGCACATTCGCCTTCTTCAATTATTGATACATGGTTTGAGGCCTAAGGAGTAGCAGAGACGACAGTATGAACGGGCGAGATTCAAGTTACAAGGAACTAAAAATGAAGCTATCTTATTGTGCTGTTAATAGACTATACATTTATACTGGAATGCAGAATTTTTTAAAGCAATAATAGTGTAATAATTACCTGTAGTTTATTCATGACTACTATTTATTTATTGTTGTTATTATTGTTTTATCATTGTTATATTCTTATTATAACAGTGCCCTTCGGATATTAAATCATTCGCACGTTTTCTCTTCTTGAATTTCGGACAGTAAAATTAGGAAAAACAAGGGGAGAATATACGATATTCATATTGGTGGTAATAATAATGAACTTTTCATAATTACATAAGATATGAGTTGGTAAATTGGTAGATAATTAAATGCTATCAAATGCCTATTGCAACAAATCTTACGGTAAGAACTCAAAAATTCTTTCATATGAATTCTCGATTTACAAGAAAATAGCGGGGAATGGAAAAAGAAGCAAAAATTTTTTGTTTCTGGAGAAATTGGAAATTGTGTGTCTGATAATCCCTGAAATATACAGAACTTTGTTTAAAATCTAAGCCAATCGAAAGTTTATACTTTTAGATTCTACATTGTGGTATTGTTTTTCTAATTAACAACAGGACTACATTGTGATATTTTTTCCTATAAACAGACGATTTGTTGAAAAGGCAATGAAAGGGAGAACTATCTGCCTAAGAGAAGGGATATCTTCCTCAGGACTTAGTTAAGAGAAACTGACTTGTTTTGCGTTCACGTGGTGAGAAACAAGAAAAGGGGCATGTAGCTAACAAATTTGTTGGGATTTCAGTCGGGATCGTTTGGTTTGGTTTAGTTGATTACAGCAAAGTACACTAGTGCTATCTGCTTGAGAGGAGGAATGCCATCGGGGAGGACTTTCTAAGGGATACTGGCTCGTATACAGGTTACACTTGGGAGAAAAACAAAAAAAAAAAAAAAAAAAAAAAAAATATCCATACAGCCAGCCCGTTCGCCTGGAATAGAACTTAAGTCGGAACTACCAGTGTTGGTTAGGGGAGCCCGCGTTCGAATCCCGGAGAAGATATGTATGTTTGTAAATGTATAATGTTCGTGCGGCATGGGCGCGTTCATAATATGCGGAAAGTCGAAAGTCCTCTCGAGAGGTTTTTTGGGGGGAAGAGGGGTGGAAAACCCCCGGACTCCCGTGGTAGTCTCCATCAAAATTGCGGGCGGAACTGAGCGAAGTCGTACTGTCACCTGTATGGTGTTCAAGGCTCTTGCCAAAGAAAGACGCAATCTTGCCCTTCTTTCCACGATGAATTTCGTGGACTTGTTCTGATGTTCCTGTCAGATAAGTAAGATAAGTCACACTACCAGGGTTGAACGACTTAACCGCTCGGCCGTTGATAGGCGAATCTTGATCGAACAACTAGTGTTCAGAAATTTTAACTAATTGGTCATTGGTGAGCCATAAAGTATAATAACTTTGAACATATCAATTTTATGGAGATCCTAGAAAAGCAAACCATCGGTTTGTTTAAGAAATTACTGCTACCGCATGATTTCTTTAATGTAAGAGGCATAAAAAAGGTGAAGCCTCGTGAATCATCCAAATCTGGAAGTCAGCCAAAACGTATTTTTGGTAACCAATAACGAGCACTTGTGACTAAATTTTGTGTGAAGAAAGATGAGTAATTCAAGCGTATTCAGGTATAAAAAATGAATTATCTTCACTTCAACCACTGATGCGTACTTCTTTTACTGAATCGCAAATGAATGTAAAGTTCATATTTAAATATGCAATGCAAAAATATTTAAATTCAAGTATAAAAAGAGATTAAAATGACAAATATATATAAAAAAAATACTAATTAGTTATAAAAAAATTTTAATTCAAAATTATAAGCATATTTATTTCTTTTACTGAGTCAGAACTGAATTTTTACATTTATACATACAATTTAAAAATATTAAAATACAAATATTAACAAAAATTCAAAATAAAAAATATGTAAAAATAATAATTAATTAGAGATAAAAAGAATTAAATTCAAAATTATAAGTATATTATTTTCGTTTGCTTTTATCATTTTTATTTCAACGTTAGAGACTACTTATTTGCATAAAAATTTAATTTTAATAATATTTTTATTGCTAAGCAATAGAGACGAAAAAACATAAACATGTCTTTTGTTTCGTCCTTTTTTTTTCCCACAAAAAGTAGCTACAAGCTTTACTTATTTTTTTAACCATTGATACTAAACAATTTGTTCCAAATATATAATTTTTGAAAATAAAATAAACTTTATAAAAACATCGGGAGTTAAAATAATCTGTAAAATCTAAATTTTTAATTAGCCCCAGAAAGGTAAGAATTACAGTTAGTGAAATATTTATTATGCTTTTATAAGTTTACTTAACAGTTCTACATATTTATGTGCAAAATTGGCTGTAATATACATAACTAATATTTTCATGAGATCAGCTGTAAATTCAACGTACGTTCTTTTACACAAATTAAGTAACTCCTTAACAAAATGAAGAAACGTTTTCCAAACATTCCTGTATTTTAGCGAAATCGCTTCAAACTACTATTTAGGTGATACGCATTAAAAAAGGATGTACATCAGTTTATATTCGTTCTTAAGTATCTCAGCTAACTTCAAATGCAAGTAAAGAACATTTTTAATCTTTTAGAACACAATGAATATTTTACTAACTGGAATTAGTATTATAGAAGAATCATATGAAAAGTTAAATTTTATACTTTTGCAACCCTCATAATCTTAACCGTTTGGACAAAATCCAGTTCTTTTGCTTTGCAAAATTATCTAGTTTGAAATATACTTCTAATGCCAATATTAAAAAAAAAAAAAATTAGAGAGTATAATCATGTTCTAAGATTACGCCGTGTAAAACTGAATTTGATATGTTACGAAATTAGACTATACACTGATATTACATATAAATATGTGAAATATTTTATGCCTATTTTTTTTCCGTATATCCTTATTTGAGAAATGTAGGATAAAACAAAGTATTGTACCGAATAACACAGTTTTGACGCAGAATCGTCATCACAGTATATTGACTACAAAAAATCTGAACTAGATACCACACGACTTCCTTGTACGGTCTATTAAATTATGCAAATTTTTTTCTGCGCTTCATTTAAATTTATTTCCTTGAATTATTTTAACCTAATTAACCGATTCCTCAAGGTAAGTTGAAAAGGACACCAAGAACAGCAAATTTTGAAATTAGATATCCCGTTCAATTTTCGTCGTGCAATGGTAAATTTTCTTGTATTTTTATTTTTTTCATAATGACAAAACGTTCCCAGATATAAGCATAGGAATCGAGAGAGACCGCATTAAAAGTTAAATTTCGCTATCTATCGAAAATACATTTTTTTAAAATTTTCACATTGCCAGAACATGAATTCGTCTTTTAAAACATTCTGTAGTTGGAAATATATGTATATAACCACCTGGAAAGTCTAAATGCCCATGCGTGTTCTACACATGTTACAAACTCCCCATGTTATTCAACATATGTGTTCGTGTTCTACACATGCGTGTAGAACATATTAAAATTCGGTGCTTTTACAATATTTCAATAGCGCGTGCCCCAGTTTTATTTAAAATTTGACATTAATATGGTGCTCTAAATTTCGATTGCCAATTTTTATAGTAATGTGCGCCAGGTAGATATTTATTGCTACTCACTAACTGACACGTGCTTCTAACAACTTAAAATCTGTGCATATATTAGACAAGTAATAAACAGAGTGTATCCCAAAGCACTGTTTTCTCATAAACACAAGGGCCACACAAATGCAACTTATTTATTATCATAAATCTGTTTAAGTAGTGTAAGACAGTATACGGAAGCATCACACACATCGGGGACACATATAAAGTTATAGTTAAAGGATTATACCGGTTGACTCCAGGTTATAAAGCATTGGTGCCCTTAGGCACTGTCCATCATCAGTACCAGTACGTCATTTTGAAAGAATTACGTGATAGCTGATACTAAACGACTTTGCTGAGAATTAAATTCTAGCATCTTGTACTTTATTGGGAATATAAATGAATAACTTTGATGAAAAAAATTTTAAAATTTGGTACTTAAATTTCAGATAAATAGAACAAGAAAGATACAAGCCTCATTCTCATTACCCGATAAGGTGGTTAGAGAAAACTGGCTGTCCCATCTTTGGATTCGAGTTTAA